ACTTAACCACTCTGACCCTCAGTTTCTTCAAATATAAATAGGGATACTAATCCCTCCCCAATGGAGGATTAAGTGGGATTAATAAAGTATTTTGCATAATGCCCAGTGCTCAGCAAGCACCCAATGAACTGCTCTTACTCTTAGCTGGCTCTGATCGTGAGCCCCAGCCAGAATGAGACCAAGAGAAGCAGAAAGCATGGACAGCCAGATGGCCAGCCCTGGCTGGAGGCGTGGGAGGATGTGACCCTCATAAACATTTAGTAAAATTAGTTCAGTGATTTTAAAAATGTACTATGCTACAGTGATTAATCACAAGTGTGAAAATAACCTGTGTTCAATGCTTCAGGATTGTTTGAAACAGCAAAAGATTGAAAGCCACCTACATGTCTATTAACTGAGGGCGGGTTAAACTGTATTAAGGTTTATACACACCATGAAATGCTATACATGGTATAAAAGGAGTGAGGAAGTTCTTATGTGCTGATACAAAATAGCTTCAAGTTTCAATGTTAATTAAAAATCAGAAATAGGTGCTAGCTACTCAGATATAAAATCCAGAAGGATAGGCTAGACTCTTATTAGTTGCCCTTGGGAAGGGGAACCAAAGTGGGGCTGGACGGACAGGGGCTGGAGGAAGATGTTTTGCTGTAAACATTGTACCTTTTGAACTTGGAATCATGTGAATGCATGCCATATTTAGAAAATAATACCTAGAAATAGAAAAGGTATATTAGCAGCTATTCACTTATTCATTCACAAAGCAAATGTTTGTTGAACCCTTGCTACATTCCAGGCCCTCTTCTAAGTATCAAAGAATCAACAATGAATAAAACAAGCAGGAACATCTATTCTGGTGGGAGAAAAGCACTAAACATAAGAAATGAAGTAAAGAGCACCCTGGAAGATCATAGATGCAATGGGTGGGGAAACAAAGCAGAAGCAGCGGAGCGGAAGTGCAGGGGTTCACATTTAATAGAGTGGTCAGCGTAGGCCTCTCTGAGATGGCGAGGATGGAACAGAGACTTCAGGAGGCACAGCAGTGAACACAGGCACCGGGGGAAGAGGCTTCTAGGCAGGTGCGCCTGCCTGGGCAGGGCTCTAAGGAGAAGAGCACTTGCACATTCAAGGAACAGAGAGGAGGCTGTTGTGGCTGAATGGGGAAGGGGGCAAGATGAAGAGAAACAGAAGGGGTTTGAGATGGAGGGTGGGCAGGTCAGGTAGGACTTTTTAGGCCATGGTAAACAATTCTTCAGCTTTAATTTTGAGTTAAATTGGGAGCCACTGGAAGTTTGGAGTATATTAGGGTGATCTGACTTGTTTTTTAAAGGACTGCTTTAGGTTGTGGGTTGAGAAAGGAGCCTAGGGAGGTAAGGAATGAAACAGGAAGGCCAATGCAGAGGCTATTACAATGACCTGCATGAGAGACAACAGTGACTGCACTGGTTTCCTAGGGCTGCCTTAACAAATTATTACAAACTAGGTGGCTTGAAGTAATAGAAATATTTTCCCTCACCGTTCTGGCATTTATAAATCCCGATCAAGATGTGAGCAGGGTTGTGCCCTCATCAAAGGCTCCCTGTGAGGGCTCTCCTCGTCTCTTCCAGCTTCCACTGGCTCCAGGTGTACCTTTGTTTGAAAGTGCAAAACTCTGATCTCATGGCCTTCTCTCTGTGTCCCTGTGTCTCTGATCTCCCTCTGCCCCCCTCTTAGAAGGGTACCTGTCAGAGAATTTAGGGCCCACCTTAATCTAGCATGATCTCATCTCAAGGCTCTTTATTACAACCACAAAGATGCTTTTCCAAATAAGGCCACACTGCAGGGGTTAAGATTTGGACGTATCTTTTGGGGGCCATAATTCAACCCACTACAGTGGCTTAGAATCAGAATGATAGCAATAAAGGTATTGAAAACATCCTTGATATTTTTGAAGTTAGAGCCAACATAATTTGAGGAGCAAGAGAATGAGTCGAGAATGACTCCACGGTTTTTGGCTGAGCAACTGGATAGACGGAGTTGCCACCAATTGAGATGGGAACACTGCAGGTGGATCAGATCAGGGCGGGGAGAGTATAGATCAGAAGTTCAGGTTTGAACGTCTTAAGCTTGAGATGAGTGTTAGGCATCCAAGTAGAGGTGTCAGGTAGGCAGATGGATAGAAATGGCAGTTAAAGAGAAGTTCTAGGCTAGAGACATAAATTTGTGAGCTGTCGTATTTAAAGTCATAAACAGGGTGAAATTGTCTTAATAATGAATGTGTCAGGAGAAAAGAAGAGGATCTGTGCCCAGGGCCTCTCCCAGGCTGTGGGCAAAGATGAATTTGACGGTTCCTGCTTCCAAGTAACCCACAAAGACAGGTAAGTACAAAAGTCAATGCCCAGAATTAGCCCACTGCCAGCCACCTGTTCTCCCAAACCAGCACCCAGCCACCATGGGACATGGCTGCTCTTCCTCCAAGTAGCCAGGAGGTCATGCCTTCCATTTTTATAGACTTCCTTTAATGATTGGTTCTTTTGCACATACATATGTATAAAAGAGTAAAAGCAAGAAGAGGGAACTCCAAGCCCTTGGGGTTTGGGGAATCCCCTTAGACTCTCCAGGGAGGACCTGGCCACGGCACCCCCAAGTTCATCTCCACCGCAGGAGACACTTCCCATTTCTGATTTTTCTTGCTAAGCAAAAGGCCAGTCAGATGCATTAATTCAGATAAAAATATCTGCTTACCTGAGCGGCGCTGCCAAGCTCTGTCCATATCTGCAGCCCTCATTCATATTTGTTAAAAGATGAGAAGACAAATATATTGACAGGTTGTCTTGAAATAGTCTCTCCCCAAATCTAATATACTGTGTGTGATTCAAATCTATTTATACTCTTTAAAAATTAAAATCAATATTTCTGTTTGTAGCATGACTGTTTGTTCTTATCGAGTTTGTCTTCACAATGAAGGTATGAAGATATAAAGTGTGGTGAGAGCTTTCTCCATTCAGGAAACATGTGTGTTTCTGCAGGTGGCTGATGGAGCCAAGGTTTTGGAACAGGCCATTGCAAAGCCAAGGTCGAGGGTGTCGTATTTTGTGGACTGTCAGTTTAGTTATGTTTTATGGTCATAGAATGTAAGTCCTTGAAATTATGCTTTTGGGGAAAAGAGAGACAGGAACTTGCCTGTACTGCTGGGGTTTCTATTGGTACAAATAATTCATACGTTTTTAAAAATGTGCATATTCTCACATATATGCACAAAGCATATTGCAAGATATTTCCTGCAACATTGTAGTAATAGCATAATGCTGTGAACAACCTAAAAGTCCATCAACAAATACATTTTTGTACCATATACAATGGAATACTATGTGTTTTATGAAAAGCTGGATATATTTGTCATCTAGGGCTGCCATAACAAATGAAACAGGCTGGGTGTCTTAAACAACAGAAATTTGTTTTCTCAAAGTCCTGGAGGCTGGAAGCCTGAGATCAAGGTGTCAGCAGATTGGTTTCTTCTGAGGCTTTTCTCCTTGGCTTATAGATGGCCGCCTTTTTGCTGCGTGTTTACATGGTCATCTCTCCGTGTGTGCATGTGTCTGATGTCTCTGTCTGTGTCCTAATCTCTTCTTAAAAGGACACCAGTTATATTAGGGCCAACCCAAATGACCCATTTTAACTTAATTACCTCTGTAAAGTCCTTGTCTTTAAATATATTCTGAGGTACTGGGGATTAGGGATTCAACATGTTAATTTTGGAGGACACAGTTCAGCCCATAACACTGGACTAGCTCCATATACTCTGACTTGGAAAAATGGTCATGAAATTTAGCTTAGAGAAGAAAGCAAGGTTCAGAAGAGTAAGTATAGTATGAGTCTAATGTTGCTTCAAAAATTGTGTGTGTGTAAAAACATCAGCAAGAACACACACCAAACAGTTAAGAGTGGCTTCCTCTGGAGAGTAGGGTTGTGGTGCAGAGAACTTCAACTTTTTATTTTCTAATTGTCTATATTGCTTATTTGAATTTTTGTTACAACCAAGAAATAAGTTTGTAATTTGTGCAAATCTGGCAGGAAGAAAGGAAGGCTGCTTTTGCTCTCTGGGAAGGTCCAATGATAGTGAGTGCTTCAGCATTTTCATCATTGTCCCCATATCAAATGCCTGCTTTGTGCCAGGTGTTTTACTACAAGTTCATTTGACCACTCCCCAACTATAATGCCATAAGCTACATATTAGCAACCCGATTTTATAAATGGAGTACTTGGGCTCAGAAAGGTTAAACAATTTGCCCAAAATCACACTGCAAGTAATTGGCAGAGGCAAGAGTCAGGTCTGTGTCTTCCAGAAGCCATCCAGTGGGCCATGTGAATGGCTTGAATCAAATCTTTCCCTTTGTCAGAACAACAAGTTGGATTGCCTGCTGCTGAGTAGGGGGTTGTTGATGGTAGGGGATTAGTGACATTTACTTAGAGAAGAGATGCCCCCTCATTGACTACTGGGGGCATAGCCAGAAGATGACCAGGATGAGTTGTCCAACTGCTATTCCTTCAAGCTAATGTTCATGAGTGTTCACCATATCCCTGGCTCTGTTATAAACACTTAACATCTATAAATAGGTCTTTTACAACGACCCATTTTATAGATGAAAATAGTGAGCTATGTCACACATTGTTTACAAAGAGAGGTAGTCTGAGCCAGCATGGACTGTTGGCTTTGTGCATGGTGCTGAATATCTCAGGGCCCTGTTCTCAATTACTCACAATAATAATGAGTCAGGAGAGCATGAATAATACAAATTCCTTGTATTAATCAAAAAGGGTCAATTAAAAAAATTTGTCCAGGTGGCAGTGGAAGTAAATGAATTCACCAATAATTGAGATAATGGATGCTATAGGGCCAAGAGGAGTGCTTGGCACAGCGTATGTCCTCCTGGACATGCAGGAGCTCAGTCTCAGCCCACAGGCCAAGGGCTAGGTGCCTCGGATGGGCACTGCGCAGGGGCCACACTGATCTTTGCAGGAGAGTGTGGGCTTACATCCAGAGGCAAAGCTGAGGTCCAGGGCCAAATACAACGGTGGGCAAAAGAAGGTTCACAGTTGTTCATATTTACCTAAAAGATAAATCATAGGTAAGGATACAAAATAATAACAATATAAGAAGAAGACAAATAATACAATAATTAATAAATAATAATACAAGAATGAACTGTTTTATGTACTCGAGTCTATAAACCTACTTTTGCTATATAGTTCAATCAGGAATCAATCTGGGACTTCAAGACCAGAGCTGAGTCCAGACTTAAGGTTCTCGGGTGCAGCCTGGGCGTTCTTTCTGGTCAGTGGGGCAGAGCTGCAGAAGGGGTCCGTGCAGTTGTCAGGAAGGGGGGATGAGGGAGCTGGAAGGTCTGAATGCAGAGTAGCTCTCAACTAATTCTGAACACAGACTGGTTTCCTTCATTCTGAACCTAATGAGTGTCATTAGTGCATTGGTGACATTTGGGGTGCCTTGGAGCTCTATATTTCTAGTCAACACCTTTTATTAATACCTTCAGCCTGGTCAGCGTTCATTAGGGTATTGGGTCCAGCCAGTGTATTTCAAGGAAGGACCATTGTTCAAAGCTGTGCACAAAAGCAGGTTAGGGAGAAATAGACAAAATTCTCCAAGACAGAATGGGAACCAATAGGGACAAATACAAAGTCATGCAGTGAAGTTCAAAATATCATTGCACAGATGGATTGAGGGGTTAGTCTGGACAACACATTACAACTCACTCACTTGGCCACAAGTTTAAAGTGACCTTAAATTATAATTTGACACAGCTGCTAGGAAAAGCTATTGCAAATTTAGCCTGCATTTCTAGATGCATAGTGTTTCGGTCAAGGGAGCTGTCCTCGGGACTGGCTGGACTTCATGGGGATATTGGGTCAAACTGGTGAAAAATATTAGCTATTAACCAGCAGCCCAAGAGCTGGATCAAATGACACATTTTGTTTGGATTACAGAATGCTGTAAGAAAAGATTTTTTAAAAAAACACCTGATCTGATAAAAATTGAAAGTTTTCAAATAGAAACCCAGATTTCCAGCAACTTTTGAAAAGTTCAAAAGATCTAGCACAATCTTTTTTTTTTTTATTTTTATTTCTTTTCCTAGCAGCATCCTTTAGTGGCAATACTTGGCTGGGTCTGAGCAGTATCTGCTTCCTTTAGATCAAGCGTGTGCTGGCCAGTTTGTCACAGGGCTCACCACTCCCTGTTTCCTCCAACAGGGAACTGGCAGAGAAAAACTTCTGTGTATCCACATCTCTATGAAAAGCCGAAAAATGAAAGAGTGAGGGCCGTGTGATTTCACTGGACCCGCACTGCTCTATTTATTTTCAGTTCTAGTCTTGTGTCTGGAGAAGTTTGTATTTGCAGTTTGAGGGCAGTATACATAGAAGAAGAAATGTAGCATACAGGAAGGTTTTGTGGGCCAGGGTTAGAATGGTATGGCTGTATGTGTTTATCTTGGAGAAGAAAGGCCTAGAGATGCGTGATTGTGGAGTGCAGATACTGAAGAACTGTCGCAGAGCACAGGGACTGACCAGCCTATGTGTTATTTCAGTGGGGAGACCAGGTGACAAGAGTTCCAGAAAAGTTGACTTCAGCTCCATTTATGGATCAGTTTTTGAGCAACCAAGCCTTCCGAATAGGAATGAGTTGTCAAGAGAAGTGGAGAGCTGGGAGAGGTAAGGCAGAAGTTGTCACAGGATGGAATAGAAAGAACTAAGGAGTTGATGGTGTAGAGGCGGGAGTTTGGGTCCTGCCATTCACTGTGGCCTTGAATAAGTTACTTAACTTGATGCCTGTAAAGCAGACATTAAAATCATACTATGTTTTAGAGCTGGGGTGAAGGTAAAATTAAAGAGTGTAAGTGAATTATTTTGTATATTGTTTGTCATGTAGTAAACGTTCAATGAATATTAGCTATTATTATTTGCAGTTGGGAAAAAGGTTGGATAATTTCTTTCTAAGAGCATTGCCAAGTCTAAGTTCTGTGATTTTAGGTCTCATTCATCTCCATTTCCTCTTTCCAAGAAGTTGCTGAAAAGAAAGAAAATGAGTGAATTTCAATCTCATTTCCTTTTATTGCTTCTCCCACCAAGGCACTTCTAACTCATGAAATGGCCACAGGCTAACTATGTAAACTGCAGACTTTATTTTTAGCTCTTTCTATGGCCTCTTCTTTTGTGCCAGACATCCTGGGAGCCTGCAAAGGTCTGCAGAAGATATGCTCATTTGGAAATGTTTGCTCATCTCCATTTCTTCAAATTTAAAGTTGATTGCCCTAAGACCTTTACTCTGTAGTGGTGATGTCAATGGGCTGAATCAAGTTCAAGATCAATCAGCTTCTTATTAAATGAACCTGGAAGAAGCAGACAGGCAAATGTAAAATGCTGGGCCATTAAATTGAGACAGAGACTTCTCCTTTTGAACATGGGAGAGCTGTGCACTGGCTGTTCAGGCTGCTGGGCATGTGGTTTTATGGCTACATTTGGTAGAGAAGAGGACAATTTTGAGAAAGACACAAGCTGTTTCTTTTTCTAGCAGAAGCTGGTAGTGGAAGACACTGCAAAATATATACCCATTCCTCCTTCCTTCTTATGAGTCAAACCCCCATTGTGTGGGATGTAAATGTGCCTAGTTAGTCCATCACCCTTCCCCCTCCGTACAGTTGGTTCTGACCAAGGAAACACAGGTTGTTTCATTACATGAGCATGATAAATTGCTTAATGTTTAAGTCAATGTGTGTCAGGTGTTCTATTTACTTCCAGCCAAACAGAATCTCTGCAGTTCTCAAATCCTCAACTGGGTATCCAACAATTCAATTCAATTCTGATACTTTCTACCTGAAGTTAGCATCAGACCCTGCAAGGTAAGGGCTCAGTCCCACAAGACTGTACCCACCTCAGGTCCTAGTCGTGTACTCCTGACCAATCAGCTATAAATCAGGGATTCTCAGGAAACTCCCCCTCACATGAGATCTGATCATTTGCTAAAATGGTTTTACTTCTGTTTACTGGTTTATGATCTCAGTCAGGAGCAGCTCAATGGAAGAGATGCACAGGGCGAGGTGTGAGTGTATGTGTGGGGTTTTCAGTCCTTCTCCGGGCACCGCCCTGCCAGCACTTCCACGCATTCACCAACCTGGAGGCACTGCGAACCCTGTTTAGAGGTTTTTATGGAGATCTTATTACACAGGCATGACTGACTAAATCATTGGCCACTGGTGACTGAACTGGAGGTAAGATAGGGTAGGGCTCAAAATTCCAACCTTTAATTGTGCCTTGGCCCTTCTGGCCCATCCTGAAGCTATCTAAGAGGGGCCCCAGCCCCCAGTTATCTCATTAACATACAAAAGACAGTATCATTCTGTCTGGGAGATGCCAAGGGTTTTAGCAGTTCTGTGCGAGGAACCAGGAACCAGGCACAATGATCAAATATTTATTTTTTATTATACCAGAGAATCCTATCTGATTTATAAGTCCAGCTATTTACTAGATGTTTACAGTAATTTTCACTGTATAACCAAACTTAGTGGCTGAAAACAGCCACCGATTTATTATTTCTCATGACCCTGTGGGTTGATGGAGGATAGCTGACCAATTCTTCTACTCACCTCTCTTGGGGTCTCATGTGGGTACAGTCAGGCAGTCCGGGATGGCTTTACTCCAATATCTGGCACCTTGGCAGGAACAACTGAAAGACTGGGCCCCCTCTCTCTCTCTACATGGTCTTTCTACATGGCAGCTGGATCCCAAAAAGAAACATTCCAGGAGGGCACATTCCAACATACAAGGATTGATCAAGCCTTTGCTTCCATCACGCTTGCTAATGACCCACTGGCTAAGCCCAGTTAAAAGTCTACCACACCAGGATGTTGTAGAAGTGAAATATTCTTTATGTAGAGGATAGAACTATATAAGCTCCCAGGTCTCTTCTAAATAGTAGATTCCTCCGTTTTACAATATTTTTCATTATTTCATTCTTTTCCCTTTCTTACTCTTTTGTTTTTCTCTTTTAATAACTAGCCCTCACCCCCCAAGAGCAAAAAATGTGCTGAATTCCTACAGAAGCATACCTGTGAATGAGCATCCAGGAAGTAGGACTTGAACTCTTTAAACTAGTGTTATAAACTGAGCCTACAGACATGTTTTGATTGGCGCTCAGTTTTTAAATGCAGGGGAATTTCATATTAGACTTAAGATTCCCGGTGTGTCTTGAAAATTTTAAACAGCAGCTATTCCTGGGCCCACATTCTTCCATACCAGTAACAGGCAAGAGGTGAGTAGAGGCTCCCCTTTCAGAAGTGTTACAGAGTGGACCCGTTTGGAAGCCCAGACACTGCTGTAGAAACAAGCCCCCTCCCCCAGGGCCTTTCTGTTCAAGGTTCATCTTTGCCTGTCATCAGTATAAACTGTGGCTCCCGATCCCAGAGTTTGGTTAAAAGGAAAGGAACTATTTATTCAAAAGTTACACAGGTTTAGAGTAATGGTAGAATGTCGCCATTAAATTTCAAAGTCACTTTAAAACAACCCCCCCCACACACAGTCCTGCCTTCCCGGGCTTTGCTCAGTCAGGTCAGTCTCAGAACATGCCAACCAGTAATACTGGCCCCCAGAAGAAAAAAAAAACCTGAAGTGCACAGCACCATCAGAAGAACTGCCATCTCCAGTTCTTAATCCAAAACCACAGGGCACCTCCTCATGGCCCGCCAGGGAGAGTCCTTTCACCCCTTTTCTTCCCGCACGGTCCCGCTGCAGCCGCCACTGCCGCCGCCCGCCGACCCGGCCCCCGGCCCCCGGCCCCCTTGGCCCCACCCCCAACCCCGGCCCGGCCCAGGCCACGGCCCGGCCCAGGCCACCGCCCCTCCCGCCCCACCCCCTCACCTCCAGTTCCTCCTGGCCGCCTGCGTTTCCTTTAAATCCCAGCTGGGAACCTCCTTCAGGACCCCATTTCCGACTCCACCCACAATCGCTACACCTGCTAGCACTCCTGTATTCTCTGCCTTTCTTGGCTGCTATAGTTATTCCAGGCAGGCTTTGGCCCTGTGGCGTGGAGTGAACCATTTCCAAGCTCCAACCCAGGCGCTATACCTGGCGGAGCTGCCTGACAGTTACATCATGGGTTAAAGTCATGCATACCTTTCTGGTTCCACCCAGGCTGTGAGACTAGTCCGCTGTTATTAATATGCAAAGTAACTTTCAAACCTTGTGTTGCTGCTTTTCCCAACCCCCAAGCTAGACTTGTCACTGGTGCCTGTAATTAGCTGACACCAATTACAGAAGGGCCAGGGGTCTCCAGTTTACTATAGTCTTCACTACTCCATGTTGTCTTGTTCAATTTGGAACCACTGGTTTTAATTTGATTTGTCTGCTTCATTCATTTCTATTATCTGTCTGGCCTCGAAGGTTTTTGAGTTGTAACCTCTGCTTTAAACTTAATCTGAATTTTCTCTCTCTCACCATCCTCCTCCCAAATTTATCTTCACTCAACAAAATGTGCTCATTGTTGTTTCCCATTCGCAAACCGTAGTTCCATTACTGTGCCTTATCTAAAGCCTTTCCCAGCTTGAGGTCAGCTCATCAAATAATGCCTTGTCTTTCATTTGAGCAGTACCCCAAATCCCACCTCCTTTAAAAGCTTATCTTGATTTGATAATTATAAAGCAGTAGTGGATCATCTGGATTCAACTCTGTTTAAATCCAGGACTTTGGATTCTAGTCCTCCTTCATAATGTCTCAAGTTAAATCTTGATTACAAATGCCACTGTTTCTGGATTATAGAAAGATGTCCAAGACAAAAGGACAGAGTTTTCATGTAAAGTAATACTCAATGATGTGAGGACCAAGAAACACAACTGAGTCCTTTTCAAAGAGACACATTTGGCCCAAATTTGGAGAATCATTGAGGGCAGCGCTCTCAAATTTTGGTCCAAAGAGTGGCAGCACCAGCTTGCTAAAAAATGCAAAGCCTCAAGCCTTACCCCTGACCTGGTAGATCAGACACCCCCGGGAATGGAGCCCGGCAATGTGTATTTTAATGAGTCTTCCAGGTTGTTCTGATGCACTGATCTAGAGCCATCCATACCATTAGACCTCATGGTTCCACTTGAGGAGCTAAGCAGAGTAAGTGAATGGTTCCCCATGGGGCAGCTGGTTCCCCATGGGACACTGCCTTTTTTATGTTTTCTGAAGTCCCTCTAGACTGCAAGTCAGTGATTCCCAAAGTGGCTCAGCATCGGCACCACCAGAGGAACAGTGTCCACCTTATCCCCACCCCCACCTCCCACCCTTCCAAATCAGTAGGTCTGGGGGCTGGAGCCTGGAAGTGTGCAGCTCTGACAAGCTCCTAGGGGATGCCAGTGATCACTTAGGCTTGGAAACCATTTGTGGAAAGTACTTGCCAATGGGTTCTTGTCGTTTCGCCTCTCACTAAGCAGAGGTTGAGGCAATCTGACACTGGAGTTCCTAGAAAACTGCTTTCTAAGCCTATTAATCCTGCCGCTAGTTTTGGAGGGCTGCTGAGTTGGGGCACAGGGGCATCTGCGGAGTGACACACCTGTATGTACACCATGCTTCTGCATGCAAACTGCAGCTCTCCCGCCCACACGCCCACTTGGCCAAACAATTTGGTCGGCTTGCCCTTTGGGGCTTTCTTGTAATAGCATCTGACCCATAATATGCTTTCTGCCTGGCCACAGGGGATTGTTTGCAGACCTTCTGGAGGGTTAATAAATAAATGATGGGCTTCTTTCTGGCCACAGGAAATCATCTCAAGGTCAATGATATTACAGAGCAGGGCTTTTACAGAGCTTGCTAAGATTTAAAAAATCATCAGCTTCCACTAACCACATTGCCTCTTTTCTGAAACTTTGAAGCTTTGCTGCTGCAAAAAGGAGTGCAATTAAGCCTCGATAAAATTTTAATAGCGGGAATTATGCACTCTGCAACCAGCCTACAATTAGCTGTTGCTATGCTACGGGCAGAACCTAATCATGATAATGAGGCAAACAAAGGGAGGGAATTAATCAGGGCTGTAAGGTTAGTGCACAGCCGGTTCCATCTCAGAGCACTGATTTCTGAAACACAGCAGTTGGGCCCCTGGGAAATCTCAGTCCTACCCAAGGTTAGATTAGCTGGTGTGGGGTGGGTGTGTGTGCAATCTTCGACTAAGAAAAGCTACTTGCAGTATCATTCCTACCACCACTATAAGGATGCACTCACTTAAAAAAGTGATGATGCCCTACTCTGTATAGGAAACCATGCTAGATTCTGTGAGAGAAATACTGCTACACAGGACACAAACCTGCCCTCTAGGTCTTTGCTATTCCAATGGTTGTCATTGGACAAGCAGTATCAGTAGCACCCAGGAGCTTGTTAGCAATGCAGAACCTCAGGCCCATCCCAGACCTTCTGCATCACAGTTGGATCCTAACAGGTGATCTGTAGGCATGCTGAAGTGGGGACGCCCTGCTCTAGGAGATTTCAACCTAGTGATAATAACAGTTTTTACTATAGTTATAACAGCTACTGTTTTTGACAGGTTCTGAGTGAGGAATTCTACATGTGTGATTATTTCATTTAATCTTTACCATAATTGCATGAGGTTTTCTCCATTGTGCATGTGAAGAAATTGAGGCTCAGAGAAGTTAAGAAACTTGCCAGGTCACTGAACTAGGAGGAAGAGGAAACAATCATAATTCTAAGGTTTCCTGATTGTGAAGTCTGGGTTCTTAGCCCCTGGTCCAGAATGCCTCCAATCACACATAGATGGAGAGTGAATAAAGGTCATCACAATTCAGATTAGTATACGATAAAGGGTCATAAGGAGGCTGGTTGTAAGAGACCATAAAGGGGTTACGGTCCCTTTTTGTTGGGGTGATCAGGAATGGAGGAGGTAGATTTTAGCGGGAATTTAATAAGTAGGAATCGTATAGACATAATGGTGGGAAGGGCATTCCATGCCGCAGGATCAGCATAAACAAAGCACAATACTTGAAGGCATGAAGAATGCCCGTGGGACGAACAAGTAGAACACTTTTGTGATATGTGCGTGAGGCGGGGCTGGATTATGGAAGGTCTTGATTGTCAAGATAAAGGTTTGAATGTTATTAGGAGGTGATGAGGATCCATGGAGAGAGTCTGAGGTGGGGGTATATCGCAGTCTGGCCCAGCTCTAGAAAGAGCTTCTTAGATGTCATGAACTGGGTAGAGAAGAAAAGACCAGAGAGAAACCTGAGAGCCCCCAATCGCCATGGGGTCTGTGGGGTCTGAACTGGCGTCAGTGAGTTGGGAAAGTAAGGGGTGCCTAGGGATCCTCTGCTGGGGATAAGGGAGCCAGTCTCTGGGATGAGTCTCTGGGGACTGGGTGAGAACTGAGTCAGAGGAGAAGATGGTTTGGGGAGAAAAACGACAGTATGGTTTGAGATGTATGACATTGGACGTGATTCACAGCCTCTCATCAGTAATATCAATGTTCATTCCACAGACATGTATGGGGAAGGACAGCAACATGAATAAGGCACAGAGCAAACAAGAGATAGCTCACACTACCCGAGGACCATGTGTGGTACCTGAGCCCCGTGCTGTACAGGCCTTGCCCTTCTCACCCCACTACAGCCTCCTGAAGTGACTTGTCACCCAGTCCCGCAAAACCCAGGAGGCACATTATAGTCATCTGGGGAGCTTGAAAAAAAAATACCAGAACCCACCTCCCCCAAAAGATGTCTGCACAATTACTGAGCTGAGTGAGGGTCCTGGTCCAAGGCAGTGAAGGTCTCAGATGATTCTTGGTGGGACCTCTACTTCTGTTGATGCCCTTCAATGAAAGACCGCCCGGAACACATCTGCAGTTAAATGGGAATCATGGGAATTACAGGTGCATCCTCCCCATGAGAAGATGTTAGAAAGAACCTATGGGCTTTGATGGGGTGACTTGGGGGGGAGCCTAAGGAAGTGAGGGGGTTACTGTAGACTGAATGCCTGCAGAAATCAGGATAATTCTGACTAAATAGCTCAATAAATCTCATCTATAGGGAGGGGAGATTAGAATGAAGACAAAGTTGAAACGGATAGAGGTAGCAGTCACTCATCTTGCCAAGAGAAGCGGGTATTTTGTATTTGAGGGGGTGCGTAGAGTGACTTTGTTTTTGTCTGTGCTTAGACAAAATCATGAAATGGCCTTGCTTCATCTCTCTTTACCTTAGTCTCAGAGTAAACTTGCGTGGGGTTGGTATTCCGTGAAACCATTTATATCTGATAGGAGCATAGCTTGGCTTGGCTGTGCGTGTCAGGCCAGCCTCTGAATGTCAGGGGCTGCCATTTTTTCTTTCTCACCCTTCACACCCTCCTTATTACTCTCTATCCCCCATCCTCTCCCACCACCAGCAAAGGAAAGAGGAGACAGAGGAGAAGAGGAGGAAAGAGTGAAGAAGATTAAAAAATAAGGAAGCAAAAAAAGAGGAAAGAGGAAGAAACAGTGAGAGTGGGGGTGGGAGGAATAAACCTCATGGATTTATTTTGCTTCCCAGCTCCACACCGAACCACATCTCAGCAGAATGTGGGCAGCAGGACAGCAGGGCCCTGCAGCCCAGCACTCACTTGTTAGCAGTGACCTTGCTGCCCGTCACCCCTCTGAGGGAGTGTTCCTTCCCGCCATCTGTTTGGCATTGGGCAATTGGTGATGCTCAGCTTGATGTGAAGAGAAACCTGTTCATGAACGGGGAGCCAGCCTGCAGCTGTGTGTGTGCGTGTGCACGTGTGTGCACTCTGACTTAGAGAAATCTTGGCCAGACTGTTCCATAGGGACGTTGACACCCAAGGTGTGTTTGCCGAGGGCTCTCACTGAATCTGGAGTCTGGTCCCAGAGCAGGTGTCTGCAGCCTCCCCATACACTCCAACTTATCAAGAGGAGGAGGGGGCATGCGC